ATGGGACTTATTTTAATCGGGCGAAAATCCTAAATCCAGATTTATAAAAATTTCGGCGTTTAATGCGTATTTGAGTCAGAAAAACTGGGTTTTGCAATTCTGTCCGTGTGTGTGTGTGTGTGTGTGTGTGTGTGTGTGTCTGAACTCAATAACTTGAGCATCGCTACAGTTAGGTTGATGAATTTTCATGCATAAGTATTATATTAAATTTGTAGTTCTCTATCAACTTTTAACGATTTCCGATAACCGGAAGTGGGACTTATTCTACTTTTAGTTTTTTTAAAGCCTATAACTTGAGTATAGTTTTAGATAGATAAACGAAATTTCACATATAAGTTAAAGATCTAAATTTCTGCCTTCTGTCAATTTTGAGTAATTTCCGTTGATTGGAAGTAATAATTTGCGCTATTTCCGATTTTTCAAAAAAAAAAAAACGAAAATGAATTTATAAAGTACTAATAATATTCCGCACTATTGTACAAATACTGTTTACCATTTATTTGTGCGCATTTCTTTTTTTTCTACGAGATTCTATTTTGAAAAGTTTAATTAATCAAAGATGGATTAAAAATCATGTCTATATCCCGCTTTGCCATCCCTGTAGTGTTATATAAGAATATTCGAGAAAGTTTAGGGGAGATCACTCCCGGTTTATTTTTTAATTAGCTACTGTTTTTACAAGCTTTTATTTAACTTGCTTCCTCTGTCGTCAGTCGTCAGTCTGTCTAGATCGAAACGCCGTAGCGAAATTGCAGGCACACTTCTACTTGACAGATACGGTTCGTAATTGGTACGTGGGTCAAGACATAAAGACAATGCATCGTGACATTAAATTTGACTTAATTGGATGCCTAATTAATTTTTTATGAATTAATTAAAATTTTGATCAAATTAGTAGGCATTTCTATTCAACTACTCCACACGCGTCATCACGTTCAATAGCGCGTCATCAAGTTCAATAGCGCGTCATCACGTTCAATAGGCGCGCAATGTTTTTTAGTCATGAAACTCTATTGTAAATACAAACATGTAAAGTACTTTTTAAAAAATTCATAAAAAACGTTTTAATAACAAGCTTTTATGTACTAATGCACTAAAAAGTAGAGAATAAATTATAGACTACTATTTAAATAACTATAAAGAAAAGCGTGGGTCTCTTCCTAAACATTAGTGAGGTATCCAATAGATACTAAAGTGACCCACGCTTTTCTTTATAGTTATTTAAATAGTAGTCTATAATTTATTTTCTACTTTTTAGTGCATTAGTACATAAAAGCTTGTTATTAAAACGTTTTTTATGAAAAAAATTTTTGGTGTTCTTTAAAGATCTTTTTTTTTAACAAAATGTTAAAAAACTATGTTTACAGAGTTGTACCTGTTTCAAAAGCTATGATTCTGGCGGCATTGTACTTTGGTACATCATTACTCGTTTTCCCAAATGTACTTAACATTAGGTCAATTATCCTACCCAGTGTATACCTAGGTGTGACATTAATGTCGCTCTACACAATTAAGGCCTGACAAGTTTCAGGTGGTGTAGTGGGGGGGGGGGGGGGCAACACAGAGTGAACATAGCGTCAGTACGGGTTTAGAAGACTGTTCTAAACATACATATACTGATTCAGAAATAGATTTAAATAAGTAACAGTGGTATTATGACAGTAAAAGTGCTTTTTACCCCCCCCCCCCCCCGCCTACGCAACTGGTCTAGATTATAAAAGTGTGGTCTATCTTTAGTGTGTATGATTTACAAAAGCGACCAGTGTTTCTTTCAGACTTTTTTCTCCCCGGAGAGATGGGGCACTTAAAATTTTCGGGGGGGGGGGGGGAAGAAAGGAGGATGGACATTCCGGGGAGGAGGCAAACACTGGTAAAAGTATATTTTCTATATAAATTCTATTTCTTTATAGGGGGCGGTAGACATTCTTCGGGGAGCTCTGTCCCCCCCCCACCCCAGAAGTGTTGCCTGAAAGAAACACTAAATACGACTTCTGTCGTGCAAGGTGTAGAGGAAGAGGCGTAGCGAGGGGGGGTCGGGGGTCGGACCGCACCGGGTGACACCATTTAGGGGGTTGATACCAAGGCGAAAAATAGCAAAATATATAGAGAAAAACTTGAGGGGGGGTGCAAATCGAAAGTTTGAGGGGGGGGGTGCAAATCGAAAATTTGAAAGTTTGTCCCCGGGAATGGTGGCTACGCCTTAAGTGCCGCATTGGGTGACAACCGACCTCGCTACGCCACTGTGTAGAGGTATGACTACGACTATATTTAGTGTGAATGTGCTTCAGTTTACTACGTGTAATTCAAGTTTAAATCCGGTTAAAATACCGATTCTGGATAACAATCCATTTTCAATGACATTTTTCTTTACCGGTTAAATGAAATTGAGGTGGTGATTTTGGTTTTAGTTTCGGTTTAGAGAAAAAGACATCATTATCAACCTCAACTGGCCATTTTTCTGGTACTATATAGACCTATAATTCACGTGAAACGGGTAGCCATGGCTAGTTTTATGCTAGTAGTTTGGGCGGTTTTTTGCATTCTAGGAATATTTCTATATTTAACCGTGTGAACAGAATATGTACTACGATATTCTGATTTAAATTGAATTTTTCAATAGTTTTTATCTAACATAACAGCTTTATTTAACACACGCTTCTAGTTATCTGCATATATTTTAAAAATTAAAGTTAAACTAAAATACTCGGAACTCTGCTGGCTCCAGAATTTTTTATCTAAGCTAAACAGTTTCGCTCGCAGTACACAGACGGCTTTATTCCGTGAGTGATAAAGAAGGTTCTAATTTGGCAAAGTTTATATGTTTATACCACATTCCTGAAGCTATCATGTGTTGGAGGTAGGTTGAGAGTAGGGTGATACATTTACAAGCATCTATTATTAAAAAACCCAACGTTGTAAGGATTTGGACTGGTCAACTCTAACTAGATAGAATATAGGACTTAATCACATTTTCCTGATACCAAATACTACAATGTAATGCCGTAATCAATTAGAATGTAGTACTTAATCATGTCTTACAATACCAACTACTAAAATCTAATACTTAATCACAATACCCCTATACCAACTACTAGAATCTAGTACTTAATCACAATACCCCTATACCAACTATAATCGAGTCCTTAATCACATCATCCCGATACCAACTAGAATCGAGTACTTAATCACGTCTTCCCAGAGAAATTCATTCCCGCTTACACGTTGCCATTTCCGTTATCTTTGCCATTAACACAAGTTCCATTAGGAGAGCAGGCTAAGAGCATGTTTATAGGTGCTGACGCATGAGATATGAGCTTCACTACTTTTAAACTGGAATGTACTGTGTGTTGGGGTTTCGTCAAGACACACTCTAGTTGTACTAGGCTATCTGCCATGGTTTAACATTACCACAAGAATGATCTTGTTGTACTAGGCTATCTGCCATGGTTTAACATTACCACAAGAATGATCTTGTTGTACTAGGCTATCTGCCATGGTTTAACATTACCACAAGAATGATCTTGTTGTACTAGGCTATCTGCCATGGTTTAACATTACCACAAGAATGATCTTGTTGTACTAGGCTATCTGCCATGGTTTAACATTACCACAAGAATGATCTTGTTGTACTAGGCTATCTGCCATGGTTTAACATTACCACAAGAATGATCTTGTTGTACTAGGCTATCTGCCATGGTTTAACATTACCACAACAATAATCTTGTTGTACTAGGCTATCTGCCATGGTTTAACATTACCACAAGAATGATCTTGTTGTACTAGGCTATCTGCCATGGCTTAACATTACCACAAGAATGATCTTGCTGTACTAGGCTATCTGCCATGGTTTAACATTACCACAAGAATGATCTTGTTGTACTAGGCTATGTGCCATGGTTTAACATTACCACAAGAATGATCTTGTTGTACTAGGCTATCTGCCATGGTTTAACATTACCACAAGAATGATCTTGTTGTACTAGGCTATCTGCCATGGTTTAACATTACCACAAGAATGATCTTGTTGTACTAGGCTATCTGCCATGGCTTAACATTACCACAAGAATGATCTTGCTGTACTAGGCTATCTGCCATGGTTTAACATTACCACAAGAATGATCTTGTTGTACTAGGCTATCTGCCATGGTTTAACATTACCACAACAATAATCTTGTTGTACTAGGCTATCTGCCATGGTTTAACATTACCACAAGAATGATCTTGTTGTACTAGGCTATCTGCCATGGTTTAACATTACCACAAGAATGATCTTGTTGTACTAGGCTATCTGCCATGGTTTAACATTACCACAAGAATGATCTTGTTGTACTAGGCTATGTGCCATGGTTTAACATTACCACAACAATAATCTTGTTGTACTAGGCTATCTGCCATGGTTTAACATTACCACAAGAATGATCTTGTTGTACTAGGCTATCTGCCATGGTTTAACATTACCACAAGAATGATCTTGTTGTACAAGGCTATGTGCCATGGTTTAACTATACCAAAAGAATAATCTTGTTGTACTAGGCTATGTGCCATGGTTTAACTATATCAAAAGAATAATCTTGTTGTACTAGGCTATGTGCCATGGTTTAACATTAACGTAAGACACATTTATATTACTGTTTTGCAAACAAGAAACGCCTGACTCGTAAACTTACCAATACCAAATTTAGATGACAATTTAGAAACCGATTTTCCTCAATAGGGTGCTATATACGAGCGGTATTCGGCGAGTGTGCTTTACTTTAGATGATTAATGTGTAAAATACATATATTATTTCGTCCCAGAGATCCCAAGAAAACATAAACCTAACCCTAAATAAATTGAAACGAATTCTTATGGTTGTCGGACATTTAAACACGAAATTAAAACGAATCTTTCTGGGGGTGATTTTCACCATTGTCTAAATATATTGTATAAACATATGTTTAACTGGAATGACTGTTATTTTAAAATTTGTGTTAGAGAATAGTAAATTAAAATAACTTACTGAGCCAAAGCTGTTCTTGGCAAGAGAAATAGTAGGTGTTGTCTCATTCAGTTCTCTGAAGGCCATAGTATCCGGTTGATTCGACAATTAAAATTGGTTCTTGTTGCTCAACAAGAGCTGTAAGCGTCTGTCACTTTAAGCACTGTTCTCCTTATCTTCTAATACTGAAGCAAGTGTTAGTTTTGTCAGTTTTCATACCAAATTCTAATTGATTGTTAAAACGTCAACCAAATTTACTGCATGTTTACACATTCCAACAATAAACAATTATAATTCAATAGCCTATTAATAAAGTTCTCACTCTTAAAGAAAATTTAAACAACGCTTCCAACATTTCGGTTGGCAATGGGTATCCGAGTAAGGCAGGAAATTCACCAGGGGTCGACGATTAAGACGTGCGGACAAGAGTGGGCAAATGAGGGTTAAGGTTCTTCACAGGGCGCTTAAACTATTTCAGCTGTACAGTGGCTAGGGATTTTTAAAATATTATATTACAATTTTAGAATGGTTTCTAGATAACATTACAATAAGTTTTAATGACTTTTTTCAAATAATATTACAATAAGATTAGAAAGGTTGCGTGTTTGAATTTTAAAAAAAAAATATTTTAGATTACATTATGAGGATAATTATTCTATTTACATTTAGAAAAAGTTATACTACTAGCTATGGGTACCCAGTATGAATGGGTACCCACGTGAATTATATGCCTATATATTTTTAATGTTATAATTGTTTGGTAAAAATAATTTATAAAACAGTTATTTTTCAAAACGCTATTTGCTTTACTACACGTTGAACGATATTAGTGACAAAGCAAAGAAATAATTAAATAGCTAAAAATCCGACACATTTAAAATAACTTAGGCTACCAAAACCTATTAGAAAAATTAAAACCAAATTATATACATTATTAGTCAATACAACATCATATTAAATGCACACACTTATCAAGAGACTAAAATGATTCCGTTAAAAACCCGGCTGTTCAATGGTCATTTCGTTGTTTTGTAAGTCATTTATATTAGTTTTGGCCGAGAAAATTGTGTACATTTCATAGCGTAAGTCTTAATAAAAAGATCTAGATCTATCTATCTAAATCAAATTTTAATGAAATAGAGTATTTCTTTATATATTAAAATTGAAAGATGACGTCATTAGTGTATGTGTACTTTCCGTAGTTTAAACATGTGACAGGTGTTTTGTCATTGTTTTTTGCGTTCCAACCATAATCCTCACGTTAGGGAAAGTAGAGCCGGCTGGGCGTAGTGATGACCACACTATCTCTTCATATGCCGAGGTCACAGAAACAAGTGAACTTTACTTCACTTGCCCCATAGACCGTTAGGTTTGAAAGGGAAATTTACTTAAAACTTTTAATTAAAAATTTTTCCTCTTTAAATAAAATGTAGTTTATACATCAAATGAGGAGTCCACTTTCAAAACCTGCTAAGTCACTTTTGGTTGATTTCGAAGAAATTGACTTTTAAGTTCTTTTTTTGTTAACTATTCTTAGGACTTTTGATATTTTACTGTTATATAATTTATTTTTATGTATACCTTTTTGAACAAAAATTAGTATACTACTTTAATTGCCACTTAATTGAGAAGGTTTTAGGAGTAACTTATTTTCTTCAAAAAGTGTACTTAGCAGGTTTTGCAAGTGGACTCCTCAAATACATCCACCATATTATTTTCAACAGAAGTCCGTATCTTTAAGTTCTCCATATATCACTGAAGCAGATATTTGGTTTGTAGGTCTGCTGCTGCGGAACTATTATCTTTATTTTACTTTCACTATACCACGCTCTTCCGTAAACATTAAAATCCACTACACAAACTGTAATGAAAAATTTAGGCAGGATGGGGCAGGGGTGGTCGAAAATTGTCGTCAGATGTGTGTGTGTATATATATATATATATATATATATATATATATATATATATATATATATATATATATATATATATATATATATATATATATATATGTTTTTTATAATTGTCGCCCGGATCGCATCAGGTATCAGTCAGGCCCCAACAATCGTTTAAATGTACACACTCGACTAGGGATAAATCTCGCTACTACATTCGATGACTAAATCTAACCAGGGGTTGCAACCATCACCCGTGCAGTAATATAACTGGTGGCCCTCAAGAGTTCAGCGATGGCCCTGACCAGTGGCGTAGCGAGGTCGGGTGTAACCCGGTGCGGCACTTAATGGTGTCACCTCCCAGAGGCGTAGCGACTCTTCCCGGGGACAAACTTTCAATTTTCGATTTACACACCCCCCCCTCAATCTTTCGATTTGCTCCCCCCCCTCGAACTTTCGATTTGCACCCCCCCTCAAACTTTCGATTTGCACCCACCTCAAATAATTCTCTATATATTTTACTATTTTTTGCCTTGGTGTCACCCCCCTAAAGGGTGTCACCCGGTGCGGTCCGCACCCCCCCCCCCCCCCGCTACGCCTCTGGCCCTGACAACTTGGACGTCGTCAAGGGGTGATCAGCGTAAAACGAAGCTTACAACATGCTGTGGGGTGTCTCATTGGTAGTGTGGACAAACCCGCGTCCCAACAACTAAGATCCAATAAATGAAGTGCCAACATTTTTCACATTTAACTTCTTGAAAACAAGGCACACGTCTAAAAACACACGATTGGAACAGTGGCGTAGCTAGGATTTTCGGGCACCTATGCAAAAATCATCATTGGGCCCCTTCGTCAATCTTTTTAAATATGTATGGTTATACGTCCTAAGCGTATTTATACGATGTTATTATGCAGTTCCCCGTAACGTAAAACACATTTGATTGTATGTCACTAACAAATTAACATTTAAGTAACCTAACACAGTAGCTTCACAAGACGGGGACGGAGGTGTCACAATTTAGGCGTGACACCATGACGAAAACTCGTAAAATTTACTGTCAAAACTATAATTTATCCAGTTAAAATAATAAAATATTAAGGAGAGGGGGTAACACGCAAAATTCTTATAGGGGTTGTGGGTTGGGTGACACTCACTAAACGCACAGGGTGATACCATACCTTGTGACGCCACTAACCAAACACAAACTTTTAAAAGTTGCTAATCATTTCTTTAGATTTGTTGTTTTCTTTCTTTCAAGTTTGCAATGATTAATATTTTCCTTGAGGTCCATTTTAGCTGCTTTTATATGTTCGATACTAAGAATGGCTAAGTTACTGACCCAAAGGGCATATCTACAACATATTTCATAACATCATCATAATGGATAGACTCGGGGCGCCAAACCATATATATAGGCTACTATTGTCGAGGCGCTGGAGGACGCCCTTATTTTATTTAGTCATTGATTAAAGTAGCCCTCCGTCACCCTAAGGCATGGCGCTCATTAAAACAAGTATATGTGCCTTAGTGCTCACGGGGGAACCCGGGGCGCCTGCTGGCGCGCCTGTGCAATTTGGTCATTGAATAAAGCAGTAACCATGACCCCTTGTGCAGGAAACCCAACCAACTAACCCCAGGTGCTAAGAAAGCCCCGCTGAGAAACTCTGGGTGACAAACCGAACCGCCTTTCTGCCAGTGCGCTGCCCTCCGAGCGAAATAAAGACAACATTAGTCGCATAAAACTTTACAGGGGTCTGAGTTTCTTTCTGGCTTCTCTTTGAGGGGGAGGCACTGCTCTTCGTGTGTGGGGTTGTGAAGGTATTTTCACGGTCAGATGAAATATGTTTGCAGTATGCTAAACTACTCCCCAATGTTTCATGACGATTGGTTCAGTTTTGTATTAATGCATAAAGGACAGGCAGACAGATATCTTTCCAAAATCTTGTCTGAACTCTGTCAACATTAAGTATTTTAATCAATTCCTATTACAATTTATTAAAACAGTTTTCTAAAACGCGAAATAGCGGCTAAAATTCGTTTACTAACATTGCTTTTTTATAATACAAAAGTGTGACGTCATACCATCTGAAACCTCCCCCTTACCACACACCATCACAAAATTACGGACACCCCCTCCCCCCTAAGAGTGTGACGTCATTTATGGACGACCCCCTTCACTCTTTTGTGATATTGGCATCCGGCACCCGTAAATTTACAAGCATCGCTGCAAACCTGGTAAATTATCTACCTTTCCCCCACAAATCTTTACACCCCCCCCCTCTCTCTCTCTTAACTGTCTGTCCTTACCGACATTCCATCCATCCATGATTACAATTGTCTTTTTTACTTTCTCGTAAACAGTGTATAGAGAAAGTATTGTAATCGTGCACAAAAAGTCGGAAATAAACCGGGAGTGATCTCCCCTAAACTTTCTCGAATATTCTAATACAACACTACGTGGGATGGCAACTCGGAATATAGACATGATTTTTGTTTACTTAAACTTGTAAAAATAGAATAGAATCTAGTAGAAAAAGAATTGCGCACCAAGCGAACGCCAAAACAAAATGTGCATAATAGTGCGCAATATTATTAGTACTTTATAAATTTACATGCGTTTTTTGAGAAATTGGAAATAGCGTAAATTACTACTTTCGGTCAACGGAAATTACTCAAAATTTGACAGAAGGTAGAGATATAGATCTTTTACTTACATGTGAAATTTTATTTATCTATCCGAAATAGTACTTAAGTTATAGGTTTTTGAAAAATTCAAAGTAGAAAAAGTACCACTTCCGGTTATCGGAAATCGCTCAAAAGTTGATACGGATCTACGATTTTGATAAAATACTTATATATGAAATTTCATAAACCTAGCTGTAACGGTACTCAGGTTATCGTGTTTACACACAGAAAGACACACACACACACACAGACATACGGACAAGATTGCAAAATTATGTTTTTCCGTATCAGTGAGGTGTAAAAAGTCGAGATTTGTAAAAATCTCGATTTTTTTTTTGCACGATTACAAGACTTTCTCTATACTTCGTATATACGAGAAAGTAAAAACGCATTAGAATTTATAAAGTATGAATATTCCGCACTATTATACACACACTAGCCATTGGTACCCGTTTCACGTGAATTATAGGCCTATATATTTTAAAATGTTGTACTTGTTTGAGAAAAATAATTTATGAAATAGTTATTGGTCAAAACGCAATGTGCTTTACTACACGCTGAACGATATTAGTAACAAAGCAAAGAAATAACTAATCAGCTAAAAATCCGACACATTTAACATAACACAGGCACACACTGATTAAGTGACTTAAGTGATTCCGTTAAAAATCTGGCTATTCAATGGTCATTATTTTGTTTTTAAGTCATTTGTATTAGTTTGACCAATAAAATTGTATATATTTCATAGTGTACGTCTTGATGAGTAGATCTATAGATCTAGATCTAAATCA